AAATAAAGACCCGTGGGACACAGGAATAAAACAAAATTGAAAGGTTCTGCACTTCAGCTGCCGCTCTGCTGAGTTCAGTATTAGGTTCCAGCCCTAGCAGTCAGGACAATTTATGCATTTTTTTTTTAATAGAATGATAACGGAATAAAATATTGAAAGAATATCCTTGAGCATAAACCAAAACCTAGGTGTTCCTCCTCCCAGCTTCAACAGCTGGGCTGCTGCTGTACTGCGCCCCATGAACCTGCCATCCTTTACTCAGTTCCTGAACTGGCCAGCAGCCAGGTAGCATGGTCCTAAATCCTCTCAGGCTAAACATGGCTTTCCTGCTTTCTGAACTAACATTAACCAGCAGCCTAAGCCTTTTGTTAATAAGAAAGTAGAGTACACTGCACATCACAAATGCACAAAGATCTTGATACACATGAGGTGAATGCCATGAGTGCAAGATCTCAGTGCACACAATGAGAGCTCCCAGTCGGCCATCTCAGAGAACCTTTGCCAACTTCTGGACCATGTTCAAGCTTGGACAAGAAAACAGAGTTTGAAATGTGCAGGCTACAGGTTCACTCACTGGTGTTTCACAACTGGCTTACGCTGGTCTTTGCTGGTACAGCCTGCCATTGGTCCAACTCTCTTCTCCACCTCCAGCCTCTCGTTCCCTCTCCCACTCCAGTGCCAAATGTGTGCAGTCGGTTGGATCACGAAGCCAGTAAATAATGCTGGAAAACTAACACTGCAATGGTAACCAACTCAATAAAGTAATAATAACAAAAAGGAAATAATTTTCTGCCAGTTTAGTCAGCTAAACTAACTCATTGAGAGATGAAGTGATCACCACAGAGCATACAAAGCGAGCAGCAGAGGCAGACGAAAAGAGCTCCTTTTTGTTGCAGCAGACTGGTAATCAGCCCAGCTGTCCTGGAACAGCACTCTCAGACCACCTTGATTGTTCAAGAAACCAAAACACGGTTGGTTGCAAACACTGCTCCACAATTTACCTTCTCACCTAACTGCTCATTCCTACTTCTTACACTAGCCTGCTTACAAGTCACAAGGGGAGTCAGACTGGGGAATCAGACCAGGGTTGGAAGACGAACCATGTTTTGTTTTTTTTTTTTCTATAGATATGCTTCTTTAGTAAATTCACCATGCCAAGCATGCAGGCAGTTCTGCTGATGCAATGCAAGGTACAGAAACAAGTTGGCATGGTGCCTAAACCGGTAGAATGGCCAAAACATGATGGTGGAGCTGCAAGCTTAGATTAGGGTGGCCTGAGGCTCTTATTCAACAAAAATGATGCTGCCGTAGATCTGTAATTGTTAATTTCCTCAGGTTTCAATACCATAAAGTGCTACTTACAGAGTTCAGAGGCCTCCAGAATCAGGTGACAATTGATTTTTAATTATAGCTTTGAGTTTAAACAAGTTTCTTTTGCTCGTGGTTTTTCATTTACAACTAACTTCTGGCTCTCACTTGGGAACATTGTGCAGTGCAACTGATAGTTTTACAAAAACAAAAAAACAAGTCATCGTTATCTGTTCCTCACTCTTGCAGAAAGTACAGGACCATGCTTATTGCCAGCATGAGTACCAAGAATAAGCCTCAGATCTTCCATGGCCCACACTGGGACTGTGAGAGATAGGTGTTATCCTCTGCACAGCTGGATTCCGTGTTTTTTAGGCAAAAGATCACCATAAATCTCAGTGTTAAAAAGAAAAAGCTTACAGTGTTATTCAACAGCTCAAGTACTAACTTCTGGCAATTCAGACTATTCAAAGAGCTGTGAGTGCTAGATGTCTTTCAGCATCCATTGGCTAATAGCCAGAAGGAACCCTGGAGGTAAAGAGTATGCATTGTGTGTTACTATTTCACTTACAAACAGTAGAATAAGTCAGAATCATCTAGGTTGGAAGAGACCTCCAAGATCACCAAGTCCAACCTCTGCCCTAACACTAACAGTCCTCCACTAAACCATATCACTAAGTTCTACATCTAAACGTCTTTTAAAGACCTCCAGGGATGGTGACTCAACCACTTCCCTGGGCAGCCCATTCCAGTGCCTCACAACCCTTTTGGTAAAGAAATTCTTCCTAATATCCAACCTAAACCTCCCCTGGCACAACGTCACCAGGCACGTGGGAGAACAGACCAACGTGAGTGTTAATGCCAAGTTTCCTCTAAAGATATTACAAAAAAAATTAAAAGCCAATATTAAAGTTGGTGAGCTCCCAGCTCTGCAAACAGCAGAGAAAGAATCAAAGCCATCCAAAGTCCAAATCAAGAGAAGCTTTAAGTTTATTATTTACTTCAAAGCAAATATTTCGCCACTTTAGCAAAGCCAAGCAGAGCCAGGCCACGGGCGCCCTTAAAACACTTAAAATCGCAGCACGTTTAGAAACGTTACAGCTCGAGCACCCTAGAAGTGAATTTAGGCAGGTGAATTTCCAATTTAGGAAGTGAATTTACGCAGCTTAAATAAATAAATAATTTAAGAAGCCCGGGCTACAGCGTGGCCGCTGGTGGTTGATGGAGCCGGGCTCCGCCATTTCACCGCGTGGGCAGCGCGGTGCTCTCCGCCATCCCCCCTCAGCCGGGCTGCGGGAGGGCCAACCCCGCCAGCGGCGGCACTGGGAGCAAGCGACACGCGTGGCTCCTAGGGGACGGCCTTCTGCGTAGGAAAAGAGAAAACTTACATCTGGCATGTCCTCGGGAATATTTTAGGAAACAGGCATTCTCCGCCGCGCCGCCCCGCCTCAAACACGAAATGGCGGGGGGGTGGGGTGACCCGGGGCGCGGGGGTTGATGAGAGAAAGGTAAAAACTGTGGCTTGGAGCCCCAGGACCCGGCACTTTAAGTAAGTTAGCTGAATGATACTTAGCGAAGATCGATATTGCTTTTACATCCTCTGAGCTGGAACGTGCTCTTATAACTTCAAGTACTGGACACGAGCAACCCTTCAGTCTATTTTGTTAAACTTGCTGCTTCATGAAACCAAAGATCGTTGGGCAACATTTAGTTCAATTTAGCATTAAAAATTGTGCAACAATACTGCCTGTAACAAAACCAAATTTGAGCCTTATGTTTGTTCCTCCCCTTTCCCCAAGAATTTGTGTGAAATCCTCATTGTTCCTTTAAATCAGCTTATGAAATATTGGTTTAATAAATATTGTTTGCATATTTAAGTGCACCTTTGCCCTTATTATTTTTTTTTTTAAGGAATGGTTGCATGAATAAGTACTCTAAAATGAGCAGTGCCCATAATAACGTGTTTTCAGATTGAACAACAAATGTGTCACAAGCCATCACTCTGGTCTTGACAAGATCAAAGGAAAATAGTTCACTTAATTCATCTGAAGATGACTTGGCACCTAATTGAATAAAGGTGTATAACTAAGATTGATTATTTATTTATATATTTTTGAACAAACATCTTGGAAGGGAGAGCAGGAATAGTAACTCCCATGGAGCTGTGGATCCTCATTTCTGCCAATAATAGCTTTTGCAGTTAGTACTTTGTGTTAATTTTTAGGGAGCCAGAGCGAAAGGTACATGCAATAAAGATACATGCAATAAAAATGTTCCCTGGCTTTTTTGTACCTTTCTTCATGGTTTTCCTGTAGGGATGGAGGCCTACACTGGTAGCGTTTTCAGTGTAGTTAAGCTTCTTTGAATGAATTAACTGAGTTTAGAAGGGTCCCTTTCCTGAGAGCAGCTTCATGGTACGGATTCCTCTGAGCCCACATGGGAGGTGTGATCCCTGCCTGTGACCCCTGCTTTTCTGTCAGAAGCCGCTAATATAGGCTAAGTTACACCAGGCAGCATTGCTTGGAAGGAGCGAGTTAGAGTTACATTGTGCTGAAAATATTTAAAACTGTGTTGTTATGGCAAGATAACAACGCTAACAGCACTATTCCTATGTAGAACATCTCTGCTTGAGTTGGGCTAAAATAACGCCTGGTCCGGACAGGACCATTTACATGACGGGAATCTAAAAGTAAAGAAATATTTTCACTGTTTACCTCATTAAATACCAGATATATTAATACCAGAAATTTAAAATACCATATTTTAAAGTAGTATCTAAAATATATAAACATTGGCACGGCGCGAAAGGTGCTGTTATTTGGAAAAGCGCCTCTTCAATACAACTGCTTCATGTTTTAATATTAATAAGTCAAGTGTTATAAAAGTAAGCAAACCGATGCAAAGATCAAAAACGCTACCTGAACAAAGTTGAGATTAGGGCCGACCACCTCTGAGCAACACGCTATAAGGAACAGCGCAGCTATTAGAGGGGCTTGTAAGTGGTTATTGAACCACACTGAAGTTGATGTCACAGGTAAAGATCGGAGGGATAATTTGACAGTCGCACATGGGTTTTGAGGTATTTTATTTTTGTTTTGTATTTCTTTTGTATTTATTTTCTTTTGTATTTTTGTTTTGTATTTTTGTTTTGTATTTATTTTGTATTTATGTTTTGTATTTATTTTGTTTTGTATTAATTTTGTATTAATGTTGTATTTATGTTTTTATTTTTTATTTTATTTCATTTCATTTCATTTCATTTCATTTCATTTCATTTCATTTCATTTCATTTCATTTCAGGTAAGCAAAGACCCTGTTATTAAGCCCCTAAGTTACTACTTCACGACAGCGGAAGAAAGCCCATGTGGGTAGAAGCGGCCTTTTGGAGTTGGGAGCCCTGTGTGCTTGTGGACTCGGGAGCGTTTTGGGCTTAGCGTTACACGGGGCGATTTGGCTGCGTACCTAGCGGAGAGCATTTCGGGGGGCAGCAGGCAGGGCGGCCGGCCTGGGAAGCGCTGCAGCGAACCCCCTGGCGGCAAGCCGGTGCCGGCAGCACCTCAGGCACCCCCTCTCCCTTCTCCGCTCCTCCTTTGTTCCAACTCCCCCTCCGCGGAGCCGGCGTGAGGCGAAGCGAGGCCAGCTCCCCCCCCCCCCCCCTCCCCTTCCTCCCGCCCCACGCCCCCCTCATCCCCGCCCTCAGCTCGGCGCTGCCGCCTTGCGCTCTACCCACGGGGCGGCGGCGGCGGCGGCGGCGCAGGGGCTTGGCCCCGCTCCATGGAGACCAATGGCATCGCTCCCGCCCACCCCCGCGGGCCCGCAGCCCGGCGGCGCGCACGGCCGCACGCCTCAGCCCACCATGGCCCCGCCGCAGCCGCAGCCGCTCGGGCCGCCGGCGAGGTGAGTGCCGCCCCCCCTCACCCCCAGCCCCATCCCCCGGCTCGGCCGCCATCGCGACGTGAGGGGGGGGAGTGAGGGAGCGGGGGGGGGGTGGGGGGGGGCGGGAAGGCGCTCCCCGCTGCCTCAGGGCGGTTGGCGTTTGGCGGTTGGGGCCGTTACGGCGGTTGCGGGAGGGGATGGGGGGGGGCTCGGCGCGTGCTCCCGGTGGCGTGAGGGGGGGGCCCGGTGGCGCGGGAGGGCGGCGTGAGGGGGGGGGGGTGAGCACACAACATGGCGGCGGGGGGGAGGGGGCGGCGGGCGCCGCCGAGGCACGAGACGGCCCCCCCCGCACCTCCCCCCCCTCCCTTCCCGGAAGGCGGCCGGGGCCGCCGCGGCTCGATGGTTGCGCAGCGCTAGAGCGGCGCGCGCTGCGTCACGGCGTTGGGGGGGTTGGGGGGGGGGGTGCGAGTAGCCAATGGGGAGGCGGCGTGCGGCTCGCGGGCCTGCTGCCGCGGTGCAGGCTGGGAGCGCGGAGGAGCCCTCGCGGCTGGGCAGGAAGGAGGAGGAGGAGGAGGAGGGGAGGGGTGAGGGGGGGGGGGCTGTCATGGCGACCAACATCGAGGAGATCTTTCGCTCCTTCGTGGTTAATAAGTTCCGCGAAATGCAGGAGGAGCAGCAGCAGCAGCACGGCGGGTAACGAGACCCTCACCGGGTGGCTCGGGCCTAGCGCCGCCTCAGGCCTGAGGGGGGGGGGGGGGGGGGAGGCCCGGGGCCCGTTTTCGCTTCAACATGGCGGGGGGGGGTGGAGGCGGGAGCGCGCGTTGTGCCCTGGTGAACGCGCACCCGGTTTGGCTTCACGGCTTCCCAGCGTTGGCCTCGCCTTCAGGGGGCAGGAGGGGAAAGGGCGAGCGCCTGTCCGACCCGTAATGCTCCTCTCCTTGCGTTTAACTTCACCTATTTTTTTTTATATATTTTTTATTTCATTTATTTTTTTATTCAGCCTTATCTCACCATCAAGCGAAAATCTGCTAGAGGAGATTGTGTGGGGAGTTGAGGAGCCCTTTTCCACTTCATACCTAAACCTCCCGGGGGCTGGGTCGTTTGATATACAACCAATACGTTGGTCGTATTTTTTTTTGCTGCCTGGTATTCAGTTGGCACGAGGCGTTCTGTCGCAACGAAGCGAAAGTTAACCGAAAAGTCAGCGTTTCGCTGACAGCGTGGCTTCTTCAGGAGGCTAAAATGTTACGTTGAAGGGCTGAGTGTAATAAGCGCGCATGAATTAAAAGTCCAAAAAGGCTCAAAATTGCTTGTATTATGTTGATATTTTTTTTGGTTAGTGGAAAGGTAGAAGGCCAGCCCAATGGTGACACAGTCCCAGCTGAGCAAGCCAACCCTTCAGATGACACTGTTGCTGGTGCTGGGAGTCGTCAGAATGATCAGATAGTGCAGAAAATAGAGGAAGTGCTCTCTGGAGCCCTTGATACAGAACTGCAGTGCAAATCAGGTAAATGAAAACGCATTTGGCAAATACGTTCTTGTTTAAGAAGGTTGTCGTAGTTCTTAACATCAAGTCATTTTTACAGAGACAAAAACATACTTTTCCATATTAATCCACTGAGCTTCATCTGACGAGTTGTGCTTATTGTAACGTTCATTAAGTATTTTTTTGTCTTCTGTGACTTACAACTACAAATGGACAGAGAAAGACATAATTGAAAAAATGATGTTGGTTAATACATGAAATCATTATTTAATATGGAAAAAAATCTTCTCTGTCCATTACAATAATGATATAATGTATAGATAATATCTATCTGCATAGAAAAAAATATTTGTTGATACATCTGAAGTGTTCTGTGCTTTATTCTTTATATACCTGCTTCAGGGTCTTGGTATTCAGTACTTATTAAGAAAGCTGGTACTGATATGGATAGAAGGACTGTTGTGTTATTTTGGTGTGGTTTATAAGATTATTTCTCAAAATCATCTATTAAAATTCAGAACTGTATAACTAACTGTTCTGTCGGAGTGAGATGCTCTGTCGTTTTGAAATTAATAATGTACTTACCTTAAAAACATAGTTACTTAGATTGCAGTCTTCCAGAGGTTAATACATTTTTACATAGCCATCTCACAGCATCAATAAATTACTGGATTTATTCTTCCAAAAAGTTGATTTTGAGTATCTCTTCTCATGGGACTAGTCTTTTCGCTAAAATTTCCAAATGGGGACAGTCACTGAGACGGAAGGGTGTCATTACTCGGCTTCTAATTTTTCAAATTTAGATTATAGGTGGCTGCTATGTTCTTGGTAAGTATAGTTCCAGATGTTTTTTTTTTTTTTTAAGAGGCAGTATTGAAAACTTTGACAGAAATTTTATATTTCAAAGATGTTATTTGCAATGTTCTGGCATTACTGCTTTCTATTTGTGTGTAGTGGCTTGTTTTCCTTGAGCATTTCCAACAGTCTTTTACAGGTATGCCGTACAAGTAGCGCTTCAGGCTGGCATCTGGTTTGTTTCTATTTTTGTTGTTCTGCTGTAGAAGAATGAGACAAGTTAACATGGTAGTAAATATGTGAGAAATATTAATCTAGAAGTTGATAAACTTAACCTGTAGCAAATATTCGCGTTGTTGATGTGTAAAAGGAGTTAACGTTACTGTTAGTCAACAGGGATTATTTGAAACTGCTATGCAGAAAAGTTCATTTGACTCTGTTTGCAACTCTTTCCGCAATGTTGGTGGAAGTGCTATTTTTTGTTAAAAATATTATGTAGAAATATGTGAGCTCTTAAAGCTGCCCGAGATGTGTTTATAGGATGTTATTGCTCTGTGAATGATACTGCAATTGCCCACAGTTTTTGAATGATTTTGCCTTGTTTACTTCAAAGAGTATGCTTTGTGGTCACAGCCAGATTATAACTGGAGAACCCATATTGCTGCGCTGGCCTGTATAAGTGTAATCATTTAAGATAACATGCAGATTTTAATATATATCTCATTTGACAAAGGCTGCAGCAATTTACCTCTAGAAGAAAAGTTTTTTTCTCATGAAAACATGGGACTAGATGCAAAGAAGGGTAAGAACCTAACACAGCTTAAATTCATAAGGAAATGAGGTGTAGAATTAAAACGTGATTGAAATCCAGTTTTCCTCTTTATGTCCATGTCAGCGGCTGGCTGCCTCTGCAGTCATCCAAATTTATTAGTTTCCTGTTTGAAGCAAAAACTTCATTAGGTGCTTGCATATTGGCAGCATCTCACAGTAACTGCAGTCCAGTCTGAGCATCTAGTCACCTGCAAAGTCTTAAAGCCCCTTTGGAATCAGGAAAGTAGATGCTGCTTCCCCAGAGACACTTGAAGAACTTGATCAGTCAGTGAGAAACTTAATTAGTGAATATGCTTAGATCAATTCTAACACGCTCATAGTATTGGGCTCACTCAAGAGCTGCGGTGGTAAAACTTTTTAAAGCATACTAGAATGTAATGGGCTGGCCATATTTTGTATGCTAAACGTGCCACCACTTAGATCATTTGTCTGGAAAATGAGCTTTTCACTTCCATCTGTACCTTGATGTAGTTTTAAAAACACAAAACAAGTCTTCGGCCTCTTGGGAGAATGCACCGCCGAGTTGTATGTAGGTGGAAATTTATACAACTACTTCTTGGAAAGCGTCCTGTTCCCAGCAGGAGTGTGTTGCTGACCAGAAACAATTAAGCTGTTTGAAAGCAGAATTACTTATTTTCACTTACAGTGATTACTGAGATGAAAGGTAAGAGTGCAGAAGAGGGAGTGTATGCCAGTTGTGCATGGTAGTTTAGTGAAGAAGGCATGGGTGTTAAGTTTAATTTTTTTTGTACCTTTTTTCCATATACTTGGTTACTAGCCTGAAAAGATTTTTTAAATGTAGTTGTAATAATATTTACAAGGAAAATATTTTCTTTTCTAGATGTAGACAAAAATACTGTGAACAGTAGTACTCAGTCTACAAAAAGAAGCTCTACTGCTGAAGGTGAAGATGAAATTCCTAGGAAAAAATCAAAAAAGAACAAAAAACACAAAAGCAAGAAGAAGAAGAAAAAGAAGAAGAAAAGGAAGAAAGAGAAAAAGCATAAAAAGCAGCCAAAGGAGTCAAAGTTGAGTGCACGTCATGGAGAGCATGCAGACGTACAGCCTGCTGCTCACTCAATGCCAGAGAAATCAAGCTCCACATTGGCTGTACAGCACGGAGGACTTGGAGATGCAACTCTGGCTGTCCAGATGCAGCCAGAAGAACTGTGCTTAAAAGCAAGTGAGGGGCTTGATAGACAAGCTTTAGGACTTGTTTCCCATTTGAGAACTGATTCTCAGCCATCTACAGAAAATCTTGGAAGTGAGAAGGGGACTTTGTGTGCAACAGATCCTCGGTTTAATTTAGAAGGCAGCCAACAAAATGCTAGTATGACTCAAGCTCAAATTTGCACTAGAGAAGAACAAATTAAACAGTCTTATGGAAATGTTTATCCTGTAGCTGTTAATGTGAATGAAAAGGGTGACTTTTTCGTTACTGGAAGCAATGCTTCGTCTAGCATCCCATCTGGAGTTGCCAACAAATATGAACTTCAGAAAGCAGTTCTACCTTCAGAGATGACAGAAGCACTAAAAGGTACAGAGAGTGCTTTGAGACCTCAAGGCCCTGGGGAAGTGAAAGCTTTGGAATCTGAGGCCATGGAGGTGCTGGAATATTCGGAAGCATCTCTAAAATCTATGGCACAGGGAGGAGTGAAAGAGCTGGAAACGACTTCAGGATCTGTGTCTTTGACAAGTGATGTGACAACAATTCCTAAATCTGCGGATCTCGATACTGTGAAGGCAGCTCACATGTCTGTGGACATGGAAGAAGTGAAAGTAACAGGAGCAACTGCATTAGGGGGTGTAAGTAGAACTCTGGAACCAGCCCTGAATCCCCCAGTTTTATCTGATAACTTGAGAGTGGCACAGTGCAGCTCCATGGAAAGTTCAAGTGTCTTGGCAGCAGCCGTGGAACCTGTAGGTATGATGGCAGATATGAAAAGTAAAACAGACCCAGATGCAGCTTTGCAACATTCTCTTAAGACCCAGATGGAAATGAAAAGTGCCAAAATACTCCTAGCAGCAGGTGAAGGAACTCCTGATTCCGCAACAGCGTTCCTACAAGCTAAAGTCTTCACAGAAACGAGAGGCTTGACAGATGCGCATGTGGTTGCAGAGACAAAAGGCTTGCAAGCAACTTCAGAACCCGTAGCCGCTGTGCAGACTCTCATTCCCCGAACAGTTCCAGAAATCCAGATGGTGGAGGGTTTTCAAGGTCCACGAGCAACCATGGAAGTTGTGACAGGGACAAGAACAAAAGATACAGAAACAGGTCAAGCTACTCTGCAACTGGAAAATACGTATGCTTCAAAAACTTCTGAGAGTGAATCAAACATGAGAGGTTTGGAAGCAACACCCCTGTCTTTGCAGAAAGAAGAAATGAAAGGTCCAGCAGGAGTCTTAAGACCAATGACTGTGGTAGAATCAAAAACTTTAGGAGCAACTTCACCGTCTTTACAAATAGGAGTTACAAAAGCTTCAGAAGATTTAGGAGATCCAGAGTCTGCGGGCAGAGCTAAGATGAAAACTTTGGAAGCAGTCTTGCAGCCTGGGGCCCTTGTAGGGGCAATGGGCTTAGGAGGAAGTGTGTATTCTGAAGCCAAAACTGGCAGCACAGTCTTAGAAGCAAATTCAGGACGTCTGGCTGTAGAAGGAAGGTCAGAGAGGACTTCCGAATCAGTGATTGCACATGTAAGAAAGGAACCAGTTACAGAAATGATGCATGTGGCTGTAGGGGAGATGAAGAATTTGGAAGTAGCTACAAGTTCTGCCATTACACAAGTGAGAGGTTTAGACAGCTTGACACAAGTTGAGGCAGTTGCAGAGGTAAAAGGTGCAGAAGCAAGTTCCAAAACTTCAGGCTTAATACAGATGAAAAATCTGGAAATGGCTGTGGGATCTGAAACAAGGACATTAATGCAAGACCGGGGAACAAATTTGATACCTGAGGTAGAAGATATGAACAAAGCAAAAATGAGCAAAGAAGTAGTACTAGAACCTGTGCAAAGAGTAGCGATGAGTACTTCGGAAACAAATTTGAAACCTGTACACATGCAAGAATTGGGAGCAACTGTAGAATATGGGACTGGACATAAGCCAAGCGAAATTGAAACAGCAGTAGAATACAAGGCTATCAAAGCAGCAGAGTATTCCAAAACTACTCCAGGACCTTTGCAGGAGCAGAGAGGTGATTCAGAAGCAGTATTAGAGCCTTTGCCAAGAGCAGAAATAAGTATGGCATCAGAAGCAGTGACAGAATTGAGAAACTTGAAAGAAACTTCAGAATCTATGATTTCAACAGATGGGAGAACTCAGGGACCTACTGTAGAATATGTAATTGCAACAAGGAGGACAGGCACAAAAAAACTTGAGGCATCACTTATGACTGATGTGGAAGAAGCTTCAGAAACTGAGAAAGGAATGACAGCAAAATACTTGGAGCCAGCAGCAGAAGCTGGAGAAGTGAGGTTGTTGGAAAGGATGAAAGAATCTGCAACAGCAGAAGTGGAAGGTTCTGAAACAGTCAGAGGGTCTGAGGTACACATGGATGTCCAAGATCTGGAAACTTCACAAAAAGCTGCAGTGATTAATATCTTAGAGGATGCTTCAGAAACATTGACTGTAACAAAACAGCATTCAGAAGCTATTCCAGAATTCGTGCACACTGAAAAGCAGGAACATCTGCAAGCAGTTTTTGAAGCCAGACCTACTGCAGAAGAGGCTCCAGAAACGTTGAGTGCTACTGAAATGAAATCTTCTGAAGCAGTTCCAATAACCGGGGACGCAAAAGATCTGGAAACAACGCTGGAATGTGGAGTGGCTGCAGAAGCACAACGTTCAGAGGTGGGGCAGTGTCAACAAATGGAGGATGTGAGAGTTCCTCATCAGGCTCAGGAATATGACAGGCTTGTTGAGAAGAAAGATGCAGAGCAAAATCTAGCATCTGAACCTTTTGTAGCAGTAAGTGGTCAAGAGATTACTCCAGAATCTGTGTCAGCTTCAGAAACAGCTTTTAGTTCTTCACATTCAGCAGGGACTCCCGAATCCATGGACACAAGACAGTTGGAAGCAGCTCCGGCTTGTGTAGCAGAAACAAAAGATTTGCAAGCAACTCCTGTTCCTGAGACTGTTGTAGAGCTGAAAGACGCAGAAGCAGCTCCGAGGTCAGAGGCAGACGCAAAGGATTTGGAAGCAGCTCCAGTACCTGAGACTGTTCCAGAAGAAGTTCCAGTGCCTGGGGCAGAGGCAGGTCAGTCGGAAGTAATTCTGCCAGCTGAAACTGACAAAGAAGTGGCAGCAGAAGAGGCATCGGAAGCGAGAGATTCAGAAACATCTGATGTGCAGCCTGATGTGGCAGCACGAATGAGGGAGACCCTGATGAGGCTTCAGAAAGTTGAGAAAAGCAGCCATAGAAGCAGTGAAAAAAGTAAACATGATGCAAAGAAGCAAAAAAGGAGTCGCTCCAAGTCCCAGTCCAGGTCTAGGAAGCGGAAGAAAAAATCAAGGTCACGTTCTACTTCCAGGCGTTTGACCTCTAAAAGAGCACGTTCTAGGAGCAGAAACTATTCAGATTCCAGAAAAAAGCATTCCAAATCTAGATCCCGGTCTGTGGAGAAGAGAGAGAGAAGATTGTCTTCCCGGAGGTCCAGGCGCAGACGTTCCAGGTCGTCTGACCGCTACAGGTCTAAGTCCAGGTCCCTGGAAAAGACCCGAAGATCTGGGCACAGACGTTCCAGGTCATCTGACAACTACAGGTCTAAATCCAGATCCATGGAAAAGAGAGGGAGCAGATTGTCTTCCAGAAGATCCAGACGCAGACGTTCCAGGTCTTCAGACCGCTACAGGTCTAAGTCCAGGTCAGTGGAAAAGAGAGGGAGCAGGCTGTCCTCCCGAAGGTCCAGGCGCAGACGTTCCAGGTCTTCTGACCACTATAGGTCTAAGTCCAGGTCAGTTGAAAAGACCCGAAGGTCCGGGCGCAGGCGTTCCAGGTCATCTGACCGCTACAGGTCTAAGTCCAGGTCACTGGAGAAGACCCGAAGGTCTGGCCGCAGACGGTCCAGGTCTTCAGACCGCTACAGGTCTAAGTCCAGGTCGCTGGAAAAGACCCGAAGGTCCGGCCGTAGACGGTCCCGGTCTTCTGACCGCTACAGGTCTAAATCACCATCGGTAGAAAAGAGAGGGAGCAGGTTGTCATCCTGGCGATCCCGGCGCAGACGTTCCAGGTCCTCAGACCGCTCTAAATCTAGATCCAGGTCTTCAGAAAAAAGAGGGGGCAAAGAGTACTCATGGAGGTTCAGGCATAGAGGGTCTGGTTCCTCTGATCGTTCAAAATCAAGGTCTCGATCTGTTGAGAAGAGGGGTCGGAAGACGTCTGTAAGAAGATCTAAACGTCAGCGCTCCAAGTCTTCTGACCGCTACAAGTCTAGATCCAGGTCAGCAGAAAAAAGAGATCGAAAGCAGTCGTCACGGAAATCTAAACGTCAGCGCTCCAAGTCCTCTGACCGTTACAAGTCTAGATCCAAATCAGTGGAAAAAAAGAAAGAGTCCTCCCGAAAATCCAAGCGTCGTCGCTCAAAATCTTCTGAACGTTACAAGTCTAGGTCTAGGTCTGTAGAAAAAAAGCGCAAAGAATCTTCAAAGAAATCCAAACGAAAGCGTTCCAAATCTTCTGACAGCGTTAAGTCAACATCCAAATCTGTAGAAAAAAGAGAGAGTAAGTTATTGTCAGCAAAGAGCAGTAGCAAGCATGCAGAGTCTTCTGAACATCCAGAGTCAAACATGTGTCTTGACAACGTACATGGTCCTGAACCTTTCACAAGTGAAGGCAACTCCAAATCTTCTAATGGTCCCGTGTCAGCTTTGTCTCTTGAAGGCGTAAATGGCCCAGAGCTGCCACCATCGTTAGAAAGTAGATACTCCAAAACTTCTGATGAAAAAACAGCAGATTTGCAGTCTTCTGCGGTGTCTGAACATGGTAGCTCCAAAGCCCCAGATGACCAGGAGATGAGATCCACATCTGTTGAGAACACAGAGTCTTCGGAGCTTTCTGTAAGACTTGAAAATGGATCAGCCGCACCTTATGGCTCTGACTTAGGATCCGTGCTAACTGAAAAAGCAGCAGCTCTGGAATCTTCATCACCACCTGAACTTGCTTCCTCAGCATCCAAATCAACATCCTCATCTGTTGAAAATACAGAGACAACTTTAACAGAATTTCAGCTTTCCACGTCCCATGAAGATGAGTCAAGATCTACATCCCTCAAAGAAATAGAGGGTCCAGAGCCTCTTCCGACACTTGGAAGTGGATGCTCTTTACCTTCTGATGATTGCGAGTCCTCTGAAAAAATCGAGGTTCAGGGGTCATCTGTGATGTCTGGAAGTGTTCTTTCTGACGTGCCTGGCGATCATGAATTGAGACACATCCCTGCTGAAAAAGCAGAGCTTCAGAAGTTTTTGCAAGTACCTCAAAGTGGATCTTCCGAGTTGGCTGACAGCACTGAGTCAAGGTCACTGTCTTTTGAAACAGAAGTTCAGAGACCTTTTTTAGCACCTGAAACTGTTCAGTGCTCTGAGTTCCCTGATGCCCGTGAGTCAACCTCCTTGCCAGTCGCAAAGGACCAGATGCGGGAGCCTTCTCTGGCTTCTGATAATGGGTCTTTGGAGACTCCTCACAGACGTGAATCAGCATCCAGCTTTGCTGCACAACCTGAGGAACTTCCATTGACATCTGAAGGTGGGTCCTTTGAGGCACCTGATGGAAGAGTAAAGGCTTCACATGCTTCCCTGACGTCCGAGTGTGGTCCTGTTGAGATCACAGCTGACTGCATTTCAACTTCATCTTCTGCAAAAATGCGGGAAGTTGTCTTGACAACTGTAGGACAAAGCTGCCAATCTTCTGAAGCTTGTGAGTCCAGTTCATTTGCTGAAAACATTTTCGATGGTCCAGCATCTTCACAAGTACTTGGAGTTGGCTGTTTTGGGTCTTCTGAAGTAAGTGAATCACAATACCTGTCTGCTGGAAAAACTGAGGTTACAGAATCATTGGTGATGTCTAAAAGTGAAATTGCTGTGTGCCATGATGGCCATGAGTCAAAATACAGTTACTTTGAGAAAACAGAAGGTTCAGAACTATCAGTGGCTCCTGAACATGGGTGTTTTATTTCCCCTGAAGGCTGTGAACTGACATCCACTGCAGCTGAAAGACTGGAGACGCAGAAGCCTTCTTTTCCACTGGAAAGTGGATTCGTAAAGTCCACTGATGCTTTGGGATCAGTAAGCACACCTACTGAAAAACTGGAGGCCACAGTGCCTTCTCATACATCTGAAGGTGGGCTTTTCACATTGCCCGATAGTCATGACTTGAGAGCTGCCCAAACCGAAGAAGCAGAAGCACGGAAGTCATCTTTGTCCTCTGAATTGAGGTACATTGCATCCTCTGATGGACACACGTTGAGGTCTGCCTCTGATAAAGAAACCCAGGTGCAGGAGCCATCTCTGATACTGGAAAGTAGATACTCTGTTTCCTCTGGTGTTCATGAGTTGACACACACCTCTTTCAAGAAAGCTGAGGTAGAGGATGCTTCACAGATACCTGGAATTGAATACAGAGTGGGCCTGCATGGCCCAGAGTTGACATCAACCCCTACTGAAAAAACAGAGGTGCGGGAACTGTATCTGGCTAAAGAAAGATGTTCAGTGTCTGTGGAGAGCCAGGAATTGCTGTTGCACGCTTCTGAAAAGACTGAAGTGCAAGAGCCTGCTCTGACACGTGAAAATGAATGTGCTGTATCCTGGGACCACCAGGAACTGAGGTCTAGCTCTCCTGAGAAGGTGGAGGTCCAGGAGCCTTCTGCAGTACCTGACAATCAATATGCTTTGTACTCTGAAGATCAGCAATTGCAGTCTTCCCTTGCTGAAAAAGCAGTGGTGCAGGAGCATTCTCTGCTGTCTGATAATGAATATGCTCTGTCCCCTGAGCGCCATGAGATGGCTGCCAGCCCTGCTGAAAAAGAGCTGCAAGAACCTTCTCTGACATCTGACAGTGAATATCCCACGTTCCCTGAAGGCCAGGGGGTACAGTCTACCCTTGCTGAAAAAGCAGTGGTGCAGGAGGCTTCCCTAATACCAGGTAGTGAATATGTTGCATCCCCCGAAAGGCAGGAGTTGTCATCTGCTGTTGAAAAAACAGAAATGCAGGATTGTTCTGTGCTGTCTGAAAATGAATACGACGTATCTCCTGAAGGCCGTGATTCAAGATCCAGCCATGTTGAAAAAGAAGAAATGGGGGAACACTCTGAAACATCTGAAAGTGAAAGTTCGATGTCCTCTGATAGCCAGGAGTTGCAATCTACTGTTGTTGGAAAAACAGAGGTGCAGGAGTTGTCTCTGTCTGAAGGTGAATGTACCATGTCTCCTGAAGCTCAGGAACCACATTCCAGTCCTGAAAAAGCAGAGGATAGAGAACCTTCTCTGACGTATGAAAATGATCATGCTCTGTTCCCTGAAAGATATGAACAAAAATTGACTCAGGCTGAGAAAACAGAGGATAGGGATTCTTCTTTGACATCTGAAAATGACCATACTTTGTCTTTTGAGAGCCAGGAGGTAAGATTCACCTCTGTTCAAAAAGAAGAGGTGCAGGACTTTTCTCTAACACCTGAAAGAGAACACGCAGCATCCCCTGATGGCCAGAGGCTGAGATCCCTCACCGCTGAGAAAGCAGACAGACTTGAACCTTCAATGTTAAATGACAGAGCTTCCATGTCCCCAGATGTTAGTGACTTGAAATCCGTCCCCGTTGAAAAGATGGATGATGAAATGCCTATACTGCCTGAAAGAGGACGCTCCATGTCCCCTGATGGCTGCAGTGTGAAATCTGTGCCTGGTGAAGAAACAGGGGATCTTGAGCCCTCCTCAACATCTGAATGTAGACGTTCCGCATCTCCATATCATGACAGCCATGAGCCGAAGTCTCCCATGGAGGAAGAGGCTCTAGAGTCCTCTTTGACTTTTGAACATAGGAGATCTGTGTCCCCCGAGGGCCACGACCAGAAATCCCTCATAGATGAGGAAATGGAAGATCGAGAGGCCTCTTTGACACCTGAACGTAGGCGCTCCACATCCCCTGATGAGCATGAGTCAAGGTCTAGCGGTGGTGAAGAAGCGGAGTATTCGGAACAACCATTGACAACAGAACGCAGATCCTCTGTGTCTTCTGATGAACATGAGTCAAGGTCTACAGCTGGGGAAGAAGCAGAGGACGTGGAACCCTCCTTGACAGGTGAACGAAGAGACTCCACGTCTTCTGATGAGCGTGAGTCGAGGTCCACCACAGCTGAAGAAGGAGAAGATCGGGAGACCTCCTTGACAGCTGAACGTAGAGACTCCGTGTCTTCGGATGAGCATGAGTCACGGTCTACTGCTGGTGAAGAAGCAGAGGATTTGGAGCCCTCTTCGGGAGGTGACCATAGACGTTCTGTGTCTCCTGATGGACGTGAGTCAAGATCAACCACTGGTGAAGAAGCAGAGGACCGTGAGCCCTCCTTGACAGCTGAGCGTAGACACTCCACATCCTCAGATGAACATGAATCAAGATCTACCACTGGTGAAGATGTAGAGGATGCAGAACCCTCCTTGGCAGCTGAACGAAGAGACTCCACATCCTCAGATGAGCATGATTCAAGGTCTACCACTGGTGAAGAAGCAGATGATGCAGAGCCTTCCTTGACAGCTGAACACAGACGTTCCGCATCCCCTGATGGACGTGAATCAAGGTCTACCACTGCTGAAGAAGCAGATGATGCAGAGCCTTCCTTGGCAGCCGAACGAAGAGACTCCACATCCTCAGATGACCAGGAGTCTACTGCTGGTGAAGAAGGTGAGGATATGGAGTCCTCTTTGGCAGCTGAAGACAAACACCAGGAGTCTATGCCTCTTGAGAAGTCAGAGGGACAGGACTCCTCCTTCATGTCTGAAGGCAGGCGTTCTGAGTCTTCTGAACGTGAGAAATCTAGGTCTGAATCTGTTGAAAAAATATCTGACAAAGAGTCTTCACGAAGATCTAGGAGCAGGCGCTCTCCTACTCGCCAAATGAGCCGATCTGTATCTGTTGAAAAAGTGGCAGACAAAGAGTCTTCACGGAGGTCTAGACATAGACGCTCCAGGTCTGCTGCTCGCCAGAAAAGTAGATCCACTTCTGTTGAAAAAGCAGCAGACAAAGAATCATCACGGCGATCCAGGCGTAGACGCTCCAGGTCCACTGCTCGCCAACTGAGTCGGTCAACATCTGTTGAAAAACCAGCAGACAAAGAGTCTTCACGAAGATCTAGGCGTAGACGCTCCAGGTCCACTGGTCGGCAGAGGAGTCTGTCCAAATCTGTTGAAAAAGCAGCAGACAAAGAGTCCTCACGGAGATCCAGAAGCAGACGCTCCAGGTCTTCCCAGCGCAGATCCCAGAGATACGATACGGACTCTCGCTCTAGACGGAATCGCTCCAGGTCTGTAACGCGGCGAAGAACATCAAGATCAAAATCTAACCGTCGCTCTAGATCTAGCTCGTTGTCACGTTCAAGGCACAGAAGGAGGAGTAGGTCAAGGTCAGCATCAAGAAGGCGGCGTTCTTTATCTAGAGACAGACGCAAAAGATCTCAGAGAAATAGATCAAGATCTGCTGATAGAAGAAGGAGAAGATCAGACTCAAGGGATCGTAGGATATCCCTCAGATTACGGAGCAGGAGTCGAACACCTATCCGTCAAAGGCGATCAAGGTCAAGAGGAAGGAGACGGAGTTCCAGTAGGTCACCAATTCGACTGCGCCGATCAAGGTCTTCAGGGAGAAGAAGGGGTTACAGCAGATCACCTGATCGCCGTAGGTCCAGATCATCAGAAAGATTTTCAAGCAGGTCACCTAAACGTCTTACGGACTTAGGTAAGTGATAACTTTTATTTTTAGTGGTTTCATAATTACACAGTACTTTGCTTGTTTACACAGTCGTATTTTAACACATCTCTGTAGCATTCATAAGGAATTTATTGAGGTCATTTTGTGCATTATATTTAAGCAGTAACTTTGAGAAAACATTCATGTTGAATCTGAATCTGCACTTCCCATTTGGGTGCAAGTGCATTTAAAGCAACGATACATGTATAAAGTTTCTATATATAAATATACTTCAAGGCTTTTATGCAAAGGTAGTCTGCTGCAGTCTTGAGGAACACTGTTCATTGCAACTATTGGTAAAGGCCAAGTAGTCTCTAAGAAAGTTAAGAATTTCTAGTTTTCTTGAGAGCAAACTGGGAATGAAAGAACATGCAAAAGTAAATGCCAGCTGGGGAGTTAGCTCTGTTGTTGGCTGTAACTTGTTTTTGTGTTTCTTTTACTCTTTCTTGTCTCTTTTCCACTTTTGTATCTGATATTCAAAAGCTTTGCTATAGTAAGAGGGAGGTTGTTGAACTATCAACCAAATGCGTGATATGGAGGATTGATGGGCTATGCTGCACGTTTTTATGGGCTTGAAAATGCAATTTTTTTCTTGATTTTATGCTTGAATCTTGAGGTGAGATTAGTTGTCCTGTGATTATTTCTACTACGATTGGATTTTCAGATACTCCCAGCTGAAATTAACATACTGAATTATACCCTAGCTTCCTAGTATAAGTTAACGTATTTTGTGTTCTTAACAATATTAAATTAATAATAAAATTGATGTAATTGGCTAGTTTCTAGCTTGCTTACTTCAGGTTCGCTGTGTTGGTAGTGGCTGTTCCCTGGGGTTTTGTAGGTTGAGGTTTATTTGCAAGCAAGCCCTCAGACTGCTAGGGTATGATACCAATTGGTGCAGATCTTGGTCCAACATTGATTTCCATACTGTAAGATTTTTTTCAGTTCTTTTTCTTGCACTACTTAGAAACGAGTAACACTCTAAGCACCAGGTTTATGGCCCTAAACTTTGTTTCTCATGTGGTGTGAGAAACCATGCTTTGCTTTTTGATGTGGCTATGGACTATGTTCCTTGCTGTGGTTGCATGCATGTTAGTTATTCCTGCTGGAGTTTTGGTAGGTTAATGTTCAAAATGTAATGAGAAGTGAAACTTAAGCTTGCTTCTGAAAATACTGCCAAACCCAGCTGATTTGAAAGTAAGAAAAAATCCTAATGAACCTACATCACTTCTCTGTGACTGGAGGAAGAGAGGCCTTGTAGTTCCTTTAAATCATAAGTTTCATAAAGAAACATCTCATTTTGAGATGAGCTCTTGTGTAGTAAGCTCCATTTGTGGAACTTAGGATTTTTTTATTTCTGTCTCAAAAAAGTTAACATGAATGCCCCAGAGAAGTATTAGAACAGAACATCATTTTGTATAAAGCGTCCTTAGAGTCTACCTTGATGCTCTGATTATGCAGCAAGCCCATATATATTTCTATTGCTTAAGTAGTAAAAGAATGTTACCCTTTCAGGATTTTTGTTAAACTTTGTTTGCAGAGGTAGTGGCAACTTACTTACTTGCAAGCTGGCAGATCAAACAAGATATACTTTATTTTCATTCCCTGTTTCTCTGATGCACAGAGGGGTTAACTTTCTTTGTTTGGACTTTATTTAGTTTGCTAGAAATGCTTATTTATTACTAAAATATCAGGATTTTTAAAAAATCTTGTTTTTTGTTTTTTAATTATGTTTTTTTTTAGACAAGGCCCAGCTACTGGAAATAGCCAAAGCTAATGCAGCTGCCATGTGTGCAAAGTCTGGTGTTCCTTTACCACCAAGCCTGATGCCTATGTTATCTCAAAAGAAGGACGACAAAGCCAGTCAGAAGTCGTCAAGAGATACACTGAAGGAACTCACTGAGGTAAGTGAGAACAACAATGCTGAACTTGAAAATAAGCAAGCTATTTTTTTTGACTGCTTGGTAAACTGCTCTGGGCTGCAGTATGCCTATAGTGGTTATGTATTACTAGGTCAGACTGCCATTGAATATAACATGGGGATGTGTTGTGCACCTGGCCAACCTCAAAATATTTCAGAAGAAATCTGCGATCTTTTAGAGCTGTTGCTTCTGGCTAGGTTTCTGCACTACTAGTGGAATTGAGGCAGTATTAGTAACTTAATTCCTAGGTTTTCCTGTGTAGTAGTTTCATGAATTTATAGGCAATTTTTTTATACAGTGAAGACCTTTCGGATTGTGGGATGCCAGACAACCTTGTAGCCCTTGGCACACATTCTGAAACTAGCTAGTTTTACAGTTTTCTTCGGATTGGATTTAACAGTTTGTCTATTCTGTTTGCTGCATGAGTGATACTTGTTAATATGTGTAAGAAGTCAAAGTAAATATACTGGTAACGTTTCTAAAGGATTTTCTCAGATTATACCTCCTACTTTAGAGAAGCCAAATGTTCTTTGTAAAAGTGTTGTCCATTTTGGTTGAAAGGTCCAGGCTTATTCACAAATGTTATTTCCCCTGACTTTTTTTTTCTTTTTCCCAGAAATGCAAGAAGATTGCTCAAAGCACAGATGATGTGATAGTGAATAAGCCTCATGTTTCTGATGAAGAGGAGGAAGAACGTCCTTTCTATAATCACCCATTTAAGCTCAATGAACCCAAACCTATTTTTTTCAATTTAAGTGTGAGTACTTCTGTGATTTGCAATGATGTTGTTTGACCCATTTAGCATCATCCTTTCCCATTGTTTCTTTGTTCTCGGCTTAATTACTGTTCATATCCATGTTCGTTTGATAGTGGGAGTTTACCCAGCGTTATCAGCTTGCGTGGGCTCTGTTTGCCTCTTGCCAGAGGAACCTATCAGAGATTTGTGTGGCCTATTAAGATATTAGCGAAACCTTCTAAGGAAAACAGTCTCACAGGCTTATTTTGCTTAGATACCCGTGTTGCTATTAAAAAACACTAGAAACTGAAAAGGTTAAAAACTACTTTCTGTATAGATAATAATGTAGAGCTTTTTATCATCATATGGGTATTGCAGATGCTTTTTTTTTCTTCCCAGAATTTGCTTTGAGTTTGATATCAGTAAGCAGGATGACTGTTTTGTGAAAACTAAGTACTAATACCAAGTGTGTATGCAGTATGCTATTTCTCAAAGACATGTTGCAAGTGTTATGTTTGTTCAGGTTCTAACTTTTTCCAACTTTTTTTTTTTAAGACTCCCAGCATAAAACCAGCACCACCACCACAACCAAAAAATCAGGTCAGCCTGTCGAAGGAATTTCCTGTTTCATCTGGGTCTCAGCATAGGAAAAAAGAAGCAGATAGTGTCTATGGAGAATGGGTTCCAGTTGAAAAAGGCAAAGAAGATAGCAAGGATGATGTTTTCCCCAAACCATCCATTGAGGTAAGGAAGGGAAGGAAAGCGTATACTTTAAGAAAAAAGAAACCGTTACCTGGTCAGTCTGGTGCCAAACTGCAGCCTGCGAAAAAAAAAACGTGCGCATAGGTAGTATCTTGCACTCTAATAAGCTAATTAGCTGAACTGCTGCAGTCTCCGGGTTTGCTCACCGTGTTCGTTTGAGCAATGATGAAAGCATCCTGTACCCATACTGTGTGCTTTTGTCAAGTAGCAACTTTGTTGTCTCAATAGAATTGAAACTTTTGCTTGAAGATTGAAAAGCAAGTTTCTTACCCAGTTTCTCGGAAGGGTTGTTACCCAAAGTTGAGATTTTAATAAAAGGAGTAAGAAGTAAAATTGTCCTACCAATGTTAGAGCAATAACATTGAATCGGAATGTAATCCATTAAAAATAGATCTGAAAGTAGTTTTTAAAACTGCTGTTTCATTGGATGTATCTACTCGTTTTTTCAACTTTATAGTCACGTTTTCTTATACAGTTGTCTTCCATATGGCCTTCTAAAGGAAATTTCAATTGTATGTATAATAAACTGAAAAAAATATATGTTTTTCCCCTTGAGATGTCTTCAAAAGGATATTTTGTTGGGGTTTTTGTAATTAAGTAAATTATTTAAGATATTTCTTTTTTTTCCAAGTTGATGTCACTTTATTGCATCTAAAGACTTGTTCTCTCATGCCTTTCAAAGCAAATAAATAAGAAAGCCTTGCTTTCGATTTCTGATTAAATCATTTTTCACCTTGGTGCATTTTGTTTTTCAATGATTTTCTAAGATTGTACAATTCACTTCCCAAAGCACAGTTGGTATTTTCTTCTGTGTTTTTCACAGCACCAAAATCCGTGAATTTAACACATTCAACAGACACTTTTATTGTACACCCTAAAGGCGGAGTTTGAGGGTCAGGCACTGAAATTCGCTGTTGTCTCAGTGTAGATATTAACTGCTGTCTGGTCTGTGTCAAGAACCACTACTGAGCCAAATGCTCTGAACTGTTTGTACAGAATATTGTTCCCAGTTATAAGTGTATGTATTTTTTTTAAAAAAAGCCCACAGGGTAGGAATGTTTTAAGCTAATACTTGGCCATGTTTTTACCAGGCGGTAAAAAGTCTTCAAGTAATTAATGATAAGCTTGGTTCAGGCAAGCTGTGTAGATGTCCACATTCAGGTTGCCAAAGACAGGAGGCATTTGACAAATGGGGCTAGACAAGCACTGATGGTTTGTGTATTGATGATGTATAAGAAGCCTTTAAAAATGGCATTGGAGTAAATATATTCAACATAGCTTTCCTTTCTGTCACGTGTATCCTTATAAATGCTTGTAACCATTTTGTCTGTTTATATATTTTGTAAATAAATATTTTCATTTGCATTTACCTTAACGTGGTTTGTGTTAAGGGTGATTTCGAGGGTCAGTAGCTGACAGCAGAACATACCCATTCCATTGTGTTTGGCAGTCCTTAATCTTGAACTATAGGAAAATTCTTGTAAGAGCAGGATCCCTGTATGTTTCTCCAGGGAGTTTGAAAGGTAACAGAGTGCTTCTCTGCTTAATGTTATGACTTATTTTTTTTTAAATGTTATGGGACTGTTTATGGATGAGATATGCTTATTATGCTCAACAGAAGCAGATAAGCTCCCTTGCTGCTAGAGTAAGGGTGGTGAGGGAGCATGCTTCGATCTTCAGGAGGTTTGACATACAATTTACCTCCATTCATATTGCTTGCTTGCTAATTTTGGTATGTGCTTGTCACAATTCTGATTCAAGTCTGTGTTGATACTAAAAACAAACATATAATTGGTTTTATTATCTTTTTGTTCAAGTCACAGGATTAGTTACGGTTTTACGCAGCCTAAAATGGCCCTGCTAAAATATTACAAATTACATTAACACCCTAACACTTTATTAAAACAGTTGTTTGTGGTGGTACAAGATGGAGGAAAAAAGTCATGCCTCTATTAATCTGAAGTATCGGCATGCGTGTAGATGCCAGGGAAGCATAGAAGGAACAAGTTATGTTTGAAAGCTTGAAAGTACAGAGATAAAATGTTGGATTTAAGTTTGGAATATACAGTGGTGACTATTATGCAGAGAAGCCCTCTTGATCTAAAATGCAGGAAATGCATTTAGTGTATCAGTGGACTAACAAAGTGTGTCACAAAATGCTCGTCTTTGTTGTCAGCTTCTTCCTGCTTGATTCAGTATTTGTGTGTGTGGGGAAAATGTTATGAAAACTCAGGATTGGAAAGGCAAAACTCTGACAGAGAATAGCATGCTGAACTTGAAACTGTTTTACTTGACTAAATAATAACAACTTTTCATACTTCAAGCAGAGATTTTTTTTTTCCAAGATCCAAAGCTGCCATCGCGTGTCTTGACATAATACAAAGCCATGCTGGTCTCCAAAATGGTGACTGACCATGTGGGGAAAGTGTATGGGAATTCTAACTAACCAGGGTATCTACTAATAGGCCCCAGTCCGGTAAAGCACTAAAGTACACATGTATGTTTAAGTATGTGAGTGGTCCCAATGTGATTTCAGTGGACTACTTGCATGCCTATGTGTATTGCTGGATTGAAGCTTTTGGTGAGTAGAATAACTTTCATTTATCTCCTGAACCAGTTTCACAAACAAAACTTTAAAGAATTGAACTGTATAAGGGGGAACTTGTTAATGCAAGACAGTGTATATTGCAAACAAATGTTCTTTTGCAGACATAAGTATTGTGTTGAGTGATTGATAGAAAATCTTTTAATTCTTCTTATGCCTTGTTTATAGTCTGTGTTTTTGTCATCTGGGACAATACATAAACATTGAAGTCAGTTTCATAGACTCTTTGGACTTTATGGGATTTTGAGTCTGTCTTGGTCAATGCCAGATGCTTTAGCAACATGATAGGGAATGATACTCCTGGAGGAAATACTTTTTGACCTGAGCTGTAAAAAAACAACAACAACAAAAAATCACCTTCCCCCATCTTAAACTAAGATTTAATAGCCAGAATACAAAAATAATTGCTATGTTGCATGTGATTGTAGACTTTATTTGTCTGCCTGTTACTGTTATTTCAGGATTTACTAAATTCTTGATGTGTCTCTTGTGGCAGAGATTTTCTGGGTTAGCTATATTCTTCTTTCAGCAGAATCAGTTTTAAATTGGTTTTGTTTTTTTCCACTAGCCCTTTATTCTAGTATAATGCGAGAAGCTGAGGTTGTGAGATGCTGGCTAATATTAGATAAGTCTGTTGTAATACAAAATACCAAAACCAAACAACAACAACAACAAAAAAACAAAAACAAAACACAAATACAAAACACCTAATTTTTGTCTATGTGCCATTTGCTGTTTTGGTTATTCGGTTTCTTCCATAATTTAAACAGATCCAACCCTTTCAGTCTCCTTCACATGCATGTGTTCAACTAAGTTTCACGTGTCTCTGAATATTGTTGTTTTTATGCCTTCAATCCATAAAGGAGATAGCATTTGAAGCACAGGTACTTATATAAGAGCTGTATACTAGCCATAATCTATGTTCTAACATACCAAAATGTTTTTTTTTATTGGCTGATATGCACACAGAGCAGAGTTTTTCATTGAGCTTCTTTGTTCCATATTTTTACCCAGATGATTTTGGTTATGTGGGAGATTGTTTGATTTTTTTCATTAAATTTTATTCTGGTTTAGCAGCACAAATATAAATAATCCTTTCCAAAACAGTCAGTATTGTGAACTACGAGTCTGGTTTCACTTCTATGCATTTTTTTTTTATGCTGATTATTAAGCAGTAAAGCCAAGTTCATGGAATGCATGTGATTCTTGCTGTAGTATAGCTTGAAGTTTTAGTGTGACTTAATAGGGTACTCATGTAAACAGCTCTATATGAAGGCCTTTGCCTATTTTTTGTTTTTGTTAAAATTATGTTTAATTCTGTTGGTTAATAAGATTCCATTGAACTCTAACATCCAAGTATTAAAAAATAGAACTTTCAGGGACCAAAACAGATCTCTGCAAATAAATCTTTAGAGATTCTTAAATAAATCTTCAGATATTTTTTATGGGCAGATCATACTAAATTATCAGGGTGTTACAGTTTAACTTCAGATTTTCTATTTGTTTAGGAATACTCGGTGTATGTACATAAGAAGTAGTCCCAGGATTTTTTTTTTTTAATTGCCTATTTATATGCCAAACCAAAACTTTGATGTGTAAAACAACTCTGTTGTACTTGTGATATTTGTTCTGCAACAGCTTTTTCCAGATCAGATGGGATATTATTTTTTTTTTGACGTATTTTTAAAAAACATCTTTTTCTTCCTAGGGTGTGGACATAACTACAGCCATGAATGATCGAGCACTGGCTCAGAAAAGGCTTAATGAAAACACGTTCGATTTAGAGGCCATGTGCATGCTAAATCGTGCACAGGAACAGGTATGTTGCACTTTTTCATCAGTGTTTTGATCGAGTTAAAAAGTGTAAATGTTTATTCTTTGTAGCACTTGCATTTCCTATTTGTACATACGTGTCTATACAGCTTTGGTACATTTTTTGGAAGCTCAACTAATGGGCACATACTTAAAAAAAAAAAAAAAGTATTTAATTTGCCTTTTATAGTGCTAATATTGAACCACAAACTTGCTAGACTCAGAGTTCAGGTTTTAGAGTTAATATAAAAAGATACTCAGTTTTTTGAAGTCTGCATAGAAGTGAGTGGTAATGAACATACTACTAAACACAAGTGAAGAATCATATGAAAGCTATTGAGAAGCAATAGGAAATAGTTGTGACAAAATGTGCAAAGTCTTTGTTTTGGTCTTACATTGATTTTTGTTTTGCAGATTGATGCCTGGGCTCAATCAAACTCCATACCTGGCCAGTTCACGGGAAGTACAGGAGCACAGATACTGTCTTCGGATGAGCTAACCAACAGTGGTCCCCAAGCATGGATTAGAAAGGTAGAAGTTATGCAGACATACTTGTCTAAATATCACATATTAAATATCAGCGAAAGTATCGGAACATGCCAGAAATGTGCTTTAAAAACCTATGGTAATGCATGTGTCAACTACAAGAGACTGAGTTAAATCTTTGTCTTCGATCAATTTAGCTACTTGCTGCTGCTGTGTTCATTTTGTTGTGCGTTAAGACGTTGATCATGACATTTCAGTCGAACGTCTAGAGTACCGCAATAAGATGTGCGTCTGATACTTGAGTCAGTTCATACATACTTACACTGAAATGACATTCACGATACTGGTATGGCTGCAGTGGTAGGTCCATCACTACTTTTACGGGATTGAAGCAGATCAGGCAAGGTTTGATCCTGATGTCATTGAAGTCAATGATACTTTGGCATCACCTTCAGCAAGCCAAGTCCCAAACAGCCATTCTGTTTGGCTTGGTTCTGTCTGATGACTGCTTTGTCTCTATTTGTATCACCAGTGTTTTCTGGGAGTCAAAAATTGGGAGTATTAAAACAGGAGTTGCAGTTGGGTTCATAAGTTCAACGTTATCCTCCAGTGCAATAGTTACCTCTTCCTACAGAGTACTGCTGGCTTATTTTGGGGGTGTGATGCGTCATACATACATGCGTTTTATAAGTTCAATAAGTCATGCTTCATCTTTTGAAAATGAATGCTGAACTGGTTCTCTGTCAAGAAGTAGAACTGAGGAATTCAAGCAATATCTGTATTTCAGATGAAAAAGAATAATGAGTTACGGTGGTTATTTTCACAAGCAATGTAGTTGAGTATATGCTGGATCTGTTTATCCTTCCAGAATTCGGTGTTAAGGCAAACCTCAAAACTGGTAGGTTAGACTTGAGGCTTAGCTAGAATTTTCCACAAAACTTGGTGTAAACTGTGAACACAGAAGTCTAGAATTATGGCAGCCTAAAAATAGAAATATTTTCGTCAAGATTCACTAACTTGTTTTTCCACTTTGTATAGCCAAGCAATACAGAGAGCCAGGCAACACAGAGGTCCAACTTGCTAGATGGGAATCTTGGGCTCTTGTTATGAATACCGAGTGTAGATAATAGTCTTATTTTAAAAATTATCAACTTGTGAGATTGTGACAGAACAGCTGTGATTACAATAATTGTCCCTGGCAGAGGAACTTAGACATGTAAAGCACACTCAGCAGGGAGGTGTGTTGGTGAGGAGAGGAGAGCTTTTTCTCCAAGAGGCTTGCGAAAGAGATCAGCAAGCTTCCTGAGGGTTCTGCCTTTCTGCATACCTGGAGTGGAATCCCAAGGCAAAGGAAAGCAAGCATCTCAGATCATCTCTTTCCCAAGCCTCCTTCTCATCCCCTTTTCCTTCCCTGAGGTTCTGTGCTGGTGGTCTTCTGTGCCTTGCAGTAACAGGAATGTCCGCTAAGGAAAATTAAGTGGAGAAGTCATGTGTTTTTTCTTGGTCTTTTAACTGTACTCTGTCGTCCGACTGAAAGAAAGCTTTATAAGGAGAAAATGAGAGAAGAGTCTGGTGTCTGGCTTGTGGGCATAACTGCTGTGAGGAGCAGAAGCTTATTGGAATGTTTTGTTAAACCTAGAAATAAGAGTGAGTTGGCAGAAGCTCTTATGTCTTTCCCATAGCTGTAAAAATGTAGTGGTTTACAGTAGGCATCCTCCTTGGCAAGCGTCATGTAGTTTGTCAGAATGGAGGCTGCTACTGTAAAGAAGAAGAGTTGATGGGTGAAGATCACTTCACTCAGAGGGTGGTGAGGCACTCGACCAAGTTGCCCAGAGAAGCTGTGGGTGCCCCATCCCTGGAGGTGTTCAAGGCCAGGCTGGATGAGGCTTTGGGCAACCTGGTCTGGTGGGAGGTGTCCCTGCCCATGGCAGGGGGTTGGAACCGGATGGTCTTTGAGGTCCCTTCCAACCCAAGCCATTCTATGAAGATAGTAAGAAGGACACAGTCCTCTTCCCTGCTCGGCATTCCTCAGCTTGACTTCTTTTGCTCTTTCCAGGTTCATGTTCGCACACACATTGCCATCAGACTCATAGGATGACAAGTAGTTACAGTCATGCGCCCTCTACAAAATGCGTTAGGGCTGACTGAGTGTCTTCCTGGTTTTAGGAACGGTGGGGCCCATGAAAGCCTTCCCAAAACTCAGGTTTGATGAACTTAATGTGGAGTCGTATCCATACGACTTCACAGGAGGAAAAAAAAAATGAATTAGGGATAATGAGTTATGAATGCATGTTATCTTTCTCAGTGACACGAATACGAACCAACCATGAAATGCAAAGTACAGGTTACGTTTTATTTAGGCACATGAAGTTGTAACATAGTTCCCGTTAATTACGCGATGTAGTGCTTGAAATCAGAATTGTACTTACTTTTCTTTTCTTAGGACAAAACAAAAGGACGTATTTTTTGACATTAAAAAATATATTTGTAATTTTCATCTACTAGTAGGGCTACGGGACTTTTGGGATACGTGGCATGTGTAAATTAATGCAATTTTCTGACTAAAGATGGAGTTTACTCCAGGCGATTAGGATTTCATAGGAGATTGCCATAAGAGAGCACGTGCCATAAGAGGACTTGTGGATGTGTACTGGTTAGCAGAAACAGAGGCAGTGTCAGCTAGGCATTTGGTGATCAGGTGAAGAGAACATCGGTAAACAGAACATCTGACAAGTACACACATTGTGCTCGACAGAGGTAATGACCAAACCAGATAGCTGTAATGAAACAGAACAGCAGTGCCAGGAGGGGAGAAAATCTAAGGTACTTAGAGAACTTGTGTGATAAGTGCTTTTGTCACTTTGCATTTCCTGGATTTCAGCTTGCCTTTTTTTTTTTTTTTAAACGTTAAAAATGACTCTGGAGAGGTAATATGTACTCACCAAAATATGTTTGGAATTTCAGTTTTATCTCAACCAAGTTTTGAGGGACTTAGCTACTGAAACAGTTACGTGACACATTTGAATGAGTGACATACCAGTTAGGAGTAAGGTGTGTTTTTTTTTTTTAAAGTAATACACTAATTCATGATGTTTATGCGTAGGGTTCTGAGCAGTATTCGTAGAGGAATGATAATGTTGTTAGGCTTCTTTATCATTACAACAATTACGAACAATAATATCTTTTTCTTCTGAAAAATGGTTTCTGTTTCAGTTTATCATCACTGGTGTAATCAGTTCACAAATAGGACTCGTTCTGGAGGTTGCTTCTTTTTTTTTTTTCTTCTCACAAATACACGGTGCTGCTTGAATAAATGTCAAATCAGTGGAAGCAGTCAGATTTTTTTCCAAGCAAATTCTCTTGAGGTCTGCTTAATCAGACTTTTAGCACAGTCACCACTTGATTCTGGATTTACCATCTTAATTCAATGGCCTGAACTTGCTCTCCAAAACAAGGTTTTTGCAACGTTTTACATGCACAGAGTAATGCTTGGGGTTTGTTTCATTTCGTTGTGCTAAAGCATGACAAGCAATTTTACAGTGGCCTCTAAAATGTTGGTTTTTGTGTAGTAAGTTCTGAAAAATTGGATCTTTTCTTCCATTCTTCACAATCTAGCCATAGTAGATGAACAAAATGCTAATGATAGAGGTAAAAGTAAGTCTTGTGATTATTACTTGCACAAGGACTGCTGACCTTTTAGCAAGGCAACCTATGAAAATACCAGTATTCTTACTGCCGTATGTGTCACACAAGGAGCTTTATTTGGAAATGAAAGCCAGGTGTCAAGGCAAATCAGCCATGTTATATTGATTGGTTATACCGGGCTGGCTTCTGCTCAGTCCTCAAGATGTTTTTTTCAGCTATCCTCAGCTTGGTTTCGATTGATTGTCTGCAAAAGCTGTGAACAGAAATCCTGAAGCTGATTGTGAGCGTAGTTTTTGTAAGGCATTTGATGGGATCCTATGGAAAGATGTTCCCCTTCTTGTACTGGGGAAAGAATGTGGCTTCAGCTAAAAGTGCCACAGGTTGTATAATGGAAAACTCGGTTGCTTTGCAAGTTTCACCAAAAATACTTCACTCATAAGTTCTTGGAAATCATTCTTAAAGTAATCTGGAGACAGCCCGTTGAGCTACAGCTGGAACTAACTGCTGGCCTTCAAGGCTTTGTTGTGCTTTCCTTAATAAAGCATTGCTCAAAAGAGAGAAACCTGCCTTCTGACAGAACCTGGGCTTTAATGCCCATCAGCTTTGTGAGAAGGAACAGGTGTTTTCAAAGAACATCCATTGATAATGTGCTTCAAGACCTCTCAAATAATATTTTGGAAACTGCAGCTGCTATTCTATGGTTTTATTTAATCCCATATGTTGTTTTTTTTTCCCTAAAGATAGCTTTTGCAGTAAAAGAATGGTGACTGTGTAGTTCACATTGTCTTTAAGCAAAAAGCAGCAAAATGATCTTTCAAGTGTGATTTTTTTTTTGTTAAAGCCCCATACATGCTAATTTTGGCATTTGTAGTTTATTTTTGATTAGTGATGCTGATTTCTCCCCTTCCCTCCTGATTTGTTGCCCTAAAGTGCCTTAAAAAAGGGGAATAATTTTTAGTTAAAATTACTGGAAAAAAAAACAGCTAACTGAACAGGTTTTACTGTGTAGCCTGCTTTTTAAAGAAAAGTTAGTGACACGAGAATTTGGCATGTTAGTTGTCTCCATCTGCTGGCAGAATGGAAATGTGCTTTAATTGGCTGACTTCATGGAATTCAGAGATCAAGAGGAAAGATGGCATCAAATTTTTGTGCTGCCTTACTCAAATTGGGAGTAAAGAACGAAATATTATAGTTATTTTCTAAATAATTCATTCTGACAACAGAAACCAAGTACTTAGAAACCTGAGGTTAGTTGTATTCAATACTATTCAATTTGATATGAACCAGATCTGCAGGGGTACCTGGCTGTTAAGTACTTTGTGGGACAGAAGAAGCCTTTTACCGTTTTTAAAACTGAAAAGATGCTTATATCTTGCTTCCTTGCTCTTGTTATCATTTCTAATATTTTAAATTTTTAAATATCATTAGAAGCGTAGCACTAATTTTTACTTATACTCCATTAAAGCATGGAGTACGTTTGGTTGTATTGAATTACAAGAAAGAAAAGAGGCACATAGAACATAATTTTACAGGCAACATTACTGTTTTGTATTTGTTTTCTTATTTAAAAATTTTTTTGAAGAATATTTTTCCCTACTGCCATCCTTCTTTGCTTCATTAATAATGTGAATCAAAGTAGGCGTCTTCCAGCTCTCTTCGTATTGGTGCTAGGCTTACTTGGTTTAGCATTTTAATGTGATGCCCAAGTACAACTGTTCTGTAATGAAACAAAACTTAATCATTTCTAAGCCCTTGTTGTCTTGCTTATGCTGTGCATGTTAAAAATCAGCACAATATTTAAAAAGAAAAAGCACAAACTACCCAAGTTATCACATAGGATTGTGAATTCATATACTAGAACAGATGTGGTTTTGCCTTTTTATTTTTTTTCTTTAATAAACTGCATTTCGGAATGTAAACCTCCTTATTTCCAATATCTGGAATTTATTCAGGCTCTAATAATTATTGTATAGGAGCTCAGGGCGTTAATTTTCAACTTGGAATATCACTACCTCGATTGTTTCCCTTTTTCTTTATACGTTACCCCGACCCTCAAATTGGTACGTTTGCAGGTGTGCTTAGAAAGCTGTGTCACAGTAAAATGACCTCGTCAAAAAATGTCACTCTTTCACTTGTGAACTGAATACACGCTGGTGATAATGAAACAGATGCTTACGTTGAAAATTCTATCATTGCAAAGCAGGTACAAAAGAGGAATCGGAACCCAGGGTGACATTGACTGGGGTTTGTATCATTCTCGGCATGGTTGCCCTTTTCTTATGAGAGGTTCCTGGAAAAGAGAGGGGAGAATGAAAAATGGAAGTAAGTAAAAGCCATTCTAGGTGTCTAGATCGAGGCAGTCGGTATCGAGGAAGTGATTGTCTCTGCACACACACACTGCATGATCTGCACCAGTCCAAACAAAAGTGAAACTGGAGAGGTGGGTTTAACCTCTCTGCTCTTCCATCAGAGCGCCCTGTGAGTAAATGCAGCATCCAGTTGCATGACTGATAGGTATTTCCTTCACTGGTTAGTTGGTAAATATTTGGAGAAGTCTTACCACAACCTTCCGGATTTTTTTTTTTTTTTAAATCTTCTTAACACCATGAATAGCGGGGATTACACACATGCGTTATTGGCGTGCATCAGTTGCAAATGTTGAAAAGTTAATCCCCTTAAAAATCCGTGATCCTTGGTCTCTGCAAAAGTAAGACTTCTGGTTTTATTTACTTCCAAATTGGAACCAAGGAACTCTTTTCAGTCTTTGTCCAAATCTCGGAAATGCTTACTTTTGCAAGCACAACTCAAAATTCAGGAGAAAAACAACAACAACAAAAAAAGGTTCTACTAATTTGCTTTGATAGTAAGTAAAATTTCTACAAAACTACTAGGCATTGTATCCTCTAACCTACTATGAGAAATAACTGATGGACTTATCAGTGCCAGTGTGTAAACTTGTATATTTTAAGACAAGCAATTTTTTGCCGTGATGGAAATGATTGACTTACTTACTTGGGTCAGTGGGTGGGGCAGAAGAGAGATGATAGTTCACAGAATAACCTGTGAACTTTCACCCCTCTATATGGAAACTTGTTTCAGGGTCAAATCCTTGTAGCTGCCTTCTTGCCACGGTCAATGCCAGCCCTACTATTCACAACACTGCGGCCATCGAGGCCTAGGTACGTAAACATTTAAGGAGTTTTTAAAGTTCTTTACATCAAAACAGATTTTTAAAATTTCTGTTTATAAGCTTTCGACAGTTAACAGCTATTGTGTTAATGATGATTTGAAAGAATGTGACGACTACTGCTGCTAAACTGTGTGGCTAAGCGCCTTTTTTTCCTTTAAAAAAAGAGAGAAAAGAAAAGCCTGTATCTGTTTCATGTGGATTTTCAGTGTAGAACTTGAATGTGCAACTGCCGTGTAATAAAATGGGGAAACTTTTTATGTTTAAAGTACGCGTAAACACGATTTGAATGTCATTACTAAATGTGCTTGTATTTTGTTCAATAAATAGGTACACTTGGCACAACTGTTGCCAGTTAAACAGTTAACACTGCCTCCATTCACGAGATGCGAAGAGACGCATTGGAACCAGAGTAGTGTGTTTAAAACTGAACGGTTATCATTTTGTTAAGTTCGTACGTCGGAAATGGGTCACTTGCCACTTTTGGATTGTGCTAGGATTTTCTTAAGTTGTTCTTTTTTGGCAATATTGATTTGTGTATTGTGTGTCTGCGTGAATTCTGGTTTATACGGCTGTAATAAAGCTAAGGTGTATTTTTCTGAATTGAGTCTGTGAAAGGTTGTTAGGAACATTTTTGGAAGCTCCCACTTAAGTTTTAAAATCCCAGTCCTAACTTTAGGATTTGTTTTACTTTTCTTTTTCTGGATAGGATCAGTTCTTAAGAGCAGCCCCTGTAACTGGAGGAATGGGAGCTCAACTGATGAGAAAAATGGGCTGGAGAGAAGGAGAGGGGCTTGGAAAAAACAAAGAAGGCAGTGTTGAACCTATTATGGTTGATTTTAAGACCGATCGAAAAGGTAAGCACTTCTTAAATGTTGTATGGCAGTATAGAATTCTTACACCTATTTTGAAGATAGGCAAAGTAATTTTTGAAGTAGTAAGCTTTTTCTAGGTTCACTTCCACGGAGAAAATGAAAAGGGTGATGTAGGTGATTTTGATACTAGTGTTTCAAGGCCTGGATTAATTTTATAGGTCCTGTCCTTAAGCCTGGGAACACTTCCAGAAGTGTTCTTCCAGCTTCCCCTGACTATCGCCTTCTACTTTAAAAAGGGGTTCTTAGCTCTTAAACAAGGGATATGCCTCAGTTGAATGTTTGGAAAAGGCAAGACAGGGAAATGAGTTGTGGAAAAACCACTGCGGTTGGTCTGGAGAACGTGGCTGAAGCAGGAATGGGACAGGATGTAAGGACTGCTTAACTTCAAATTGTGGTGAAGGACAGAGCTGGGAGCTGCAGAGCTGAGTTACGGCTGCCTTTCAGCTGAAGTCCTGACGTGAATGGAGTGTCACGCTGATTTTCCGGTCTTCCAAACGGATGGTTTGCTTTCTTAGCCATCTGATACACCTGCTTCTCCATTTCCTAGCCTGATCCTGTGACAGCCACCTCTGCTCAACTGCAGTGATGTTTCCCTGCTTGCTTTCAAATGTTGCCTTAGCATCCTTTCCTCTTCATAAAGTCCATGGCCGCAGGTAGAAAACCGTTGCACTGGTCTCATTTGATTCAAGAGAACAAACTTTTTACTTACAGGCTGCCTAAAGTGGCAGCACGATTTATATGGTTGGCCATCTTGCCAGCATATTCAGCAAGACTTCAGTATTCAGAGGAGATGTTTATGAAAACTTTCTATCTGAAATACCTATTCAAATTTTAAACATTTTACGTAAAAAGATACAGAATTGTAGCAGTTAAGATTTATCACTTAATTATTCTAATATGCATGTTATCAAACTGATGCACCCCAGACTGGGAAGTTTTATTATGTTATATAGATAACATCTAAAATTAAAGCATAAAATATTTTGAATTCTAACTTCTGTCAATGCTCATAATTAAAGAAGAAAACAAAGCATGTAAGTGGAAATGTAAAGCTTGTTTGCAGAGATGCTATTAGTTCTCAGTACTGCTCAGTTGATCAAAGTCAGTTAAAGTGTTAATTTATACAATTTGAATATTAAGGGAGAACATGAGAAATCTTGCCCAAGCTAGGAAAATATCCATTGCTTTCTGAATTCTAAAGACCTAGTAGCATAGTACGGTTTTACAACCAGAGAAGTGCAACAGTCTCAAAATACGGGACACAGTAATACAGACATCTTCGTTTAACATGAACAATGACAAAACTTGCTTTTCAGTTGTTTTTCTTCTGTGCAACTTTTCCATTTAAAGGGGGGGGAAAAAAAAAGATACTCTGGTGACAGTTACTGTCAGGAAATTCTTCGAAAATGTTCTCTTTGTTCCTGTTACTCACTTACTGTGGTCTTTGTAGATGCTGTGTTGTAGAGTTCTCACTGCTGGTAAGAGTTCCTTCAATTTAGCTTGATTATTTATCAGTCAGAGGGAAGAAATTGAAACCAGAAATTTGAGGATTGTTCTTAAGCAGCCTGCGTAACATAGTGGTGGCTTTTTGTGGTGAGGAGGGAAGAGTTGGCTCTGTACGTTATATTGCTTGCTTCTTATCACATTGTAGGAAAGAGGAAGCTATTGCTGCGCATCCTGTGAACCCTTCTACCGGTAAAATAATTCTTGGGATGCACACTTTCATTACAGCTCAAATTTCTGGTTCTAAAAGTGTATCCCAGGATCTGAACGTGATTTCAGATACAAATTTCCTTAACACTTGCAGAATTTAAAATTGAAATTTCAAGGATCAAGCCCAAAGTTCACAGCCAGGATAAGGTCCTCTATGAGCTGGCCATTCTGTCACAGATAGTTTGCTGTCTCTCCTTCATACAGCTTATTTCTCAATTACGTGAGGAAGAAATTAGGTGGAGATAAAAGACATCAACTCCTGGCACTTGATGGATTCATCTTTAAATACTTACAAGCTTAGTGATGGATGGGTTTTGCTTTATTTTTACCTATTTTTTATATTTGGTTATTATCATATTGAATCTTCTGTTATTCTCACAAAAATCTATTCTGTGTTGATAAAGAATACGCCTCGCTCAAAATTAAGAAATACAGTTATAAGGTGACAACTTGCATTATGAAGAAGCAATGCTTCATGCATTACAAGGAAGGAATTGAGCAGTGGTGATACATTCAAGAAACATAGCTGAAAAGCTTCTTCATACGCAAGTGTTCTTGAATGCTTAAATGTATAAAAAGTCAAATTTTCTTAAGTTCTTTGTGGAGGTTTACAGACTGTTGAAGTGAAGGCTTAGAGAAAAAACGCTCAGCACGTGTATATCACTGAAAATCAGGCTGAGGTTTTAAAATGGGGTCTGTCGGTCATTAAGAAAAAAAAAAACACAACCAAAAGAAAAAACAAAAACAAAAACACAGAAACGTCCACATTTTTAGAACTTATTCACAAAATAAAATACTTCTTCTAAATACAGGAGCAAGCAGTTTACAGAAGAGATGTTCAGTAAGCTTCACTAAGATATGAACCAAAAAGTTGTCTGCCTGTGTCATAGGTTTCCATTAGACCCTGCTTTCTTGGACAGTGGTTCAGATCTGTGTTCCTCTGGCAGAATTGAAATTAAAAACCTTCTTGAACATTGCTGTTGGTCTCTGTACAAAGACACTTGGTCCACCAGTTCTGAGGGAAAAGCAGAGCTAATCAGAGTCTGTCGCAGCTTTTCTCAGAATCCCTCTTGAGCAGCCAGGGACAAGATGTGGAAGATGAGTGCCAGGGACTCGGAGTGAGGGAGACACAGTATTAATGCACGCACGAGTGATGTAAGAATTGTTTGTTCAGAGGAACTCTTCGGTTATTTTGGTTATAAACTTCTTTAATGAAAAACAACAAAAAAATACAATTTTCATTTTGGTATCTATGGGGACTTAGTGCTACTTGAAAAGTCCATATTTAAGAGCTGCATGAATATTAGGATGAAAATCTAGTAAGGAGGGGAGAATTTTCTTTTAAAGCAAAAAAAAAGCCAACAAAAATAAGCTGAAGGAACAGGAGGAAACTGGAAACAAATGCAGTATCTCCCTGTCTTTATTCACCAAAGCAAGGAACAGAAACAAAAATTGAGGTAAGAAACAAGGTACCGTTGAAGGATTGAAGTCAGAGAAATTTTGAACCACCAGGCAGATACTTTGTTCATTTGCAGCTATTTAAGGTAAGGGCAAACTGAATTGAAGGAAACGTGAGTCTTTTCATAAGTATGGTGTGGTTATTGATATTTGGTACATTTTTGACGATTGTTATATTTTATCCTTTACTCTTGAAGATTTTAAAAAGGAAAGTGTTCTGCTGTTATGTTTCACAGTGGCTTCCACTGAAACTTGTGCTCTGTTTATTACCTTTGGGCCCAGTTGCATGCTTTTCTGCTATTTTATGTTCAGATGCAATTGAAATCACTTAACTGGGCTCTGAACTTGTCCATTCAAAAATAAATAAATAAATTTGAATACTCTTAAATAAAGAGAGCACATGTTATAAGGACACTATTATTTGATACAGTAAAAGGACATACTAGGTACAGTTGATACTGGCCAATTGATGTACTTCACATGCTTGGCATGTTAAGGGCAAACTGTTAAGGTAGTGGATGGGTTTTGGGTTGCACAACAGTGGTAAAAATACTGAATGAGAAAATGGTTTGAAGTTTCTCTCATTCAGTGTTTCTCCAAAGAGGGTGCAGAAAACCAGATGTTTCCTGACTTGCTTAAGACTGCTCAAAAGTTTCTGCTAGTTGGCTTGCCTAGAATCTTACGGGAGCACTTGAGAAGAACGTTGTCTGTAGTATGGAGATAAAAAGAAAGTGCTGGATGAAAGGGAAGTTTGAAAGACTTCTGGGAAGACAGTCATACGATGTCACCATATTTTTGTCTCCACTGCTGTGTGTTAATGCTTTCCTTAGGAGAATACAGAAACTGTAAGGTGAGAATCATAAATACAAACTTGATGATGTTTTTTCTAGGGCTTGTTGCTGTGGGAGAGAAGGCACAAAAGAGATCTGGACATTACATTGTGATGAAGGATCTTTCAGGTGAGAATTTTATCTTGAAAAACTCATTCAAAATGATTGCTCTGGTAGCAGCACTGCGATTTCACATGTATTTTATCCTTAAGGTAAACATCCAGTTTCTGCATTGATGGAGATCTGTAACAAAAGAAGATGGTCACCACCTGAGTTTGTGTTGGTGGATGATAGTGGGCCTGATCATCGCAAACACTTCATCTTCAAGGTATGTTTGAATATCCTTGTTTGCTGTTCGTTTCTCTATTAAAAGGTGGTATTAAATTTCTTTGTATTTGTGTATTGCAGGCTGGTGCGTGCTGGGCAATGTCTCAGTGCTAAACTTTCAGTCCAGTTTCTGTAAAGGCCAAGTCAGATCTCTTAAGCACGTAAAATTGTAAATCCATCGAGAAACTCTGATCTCGTTCCACTTGTTAGTAAAATGATTCACTTGTGTGGAGTCACATTCTCGCTTCTTGTTTGCAGATGTTGTTTTAAGTCTTGATGTTTTAGATAGTGAGCAAGGCTTAGTTATTTCTGTCTTATCTTAGAATGTAGTCTTTGTTTTCTCATGTGATTATCTTTTATTAATAATTACCATTTGGAAATGATTACGCTCACAGACTAGAAAGGAATTCTGTCTGCCCCTGAAAGGGAAACAAAGAGGCTCGTGCTAACACATCTCTTTTCCCTCTCTCTCAAACAGGTGAGAGTCAATGGAAATGAATATAGGCCTACTTTTGCCAGCCTTAATAAGAAGCATGCTAAAGCCACAGCAGCAACTGCGGCTCTCCAAGCGATGGGACTTGTACCAAAGGAAAGCATGGTTAATACCACCATGTTTAGGAGTGCCTCACACCGCTAGATATTGTTTTTTATATTGACATTATTTCAGATAATTTTACTCTGCACAAAAATGGTATTTGCCCTGTCATGTTGTAAATACATTGGCAATTCCCACGTTGTAAAAACTTGTACAGACACCTTCAGGTTTTTCTTTTGTACCATCAAAATGTATTTAAATCATACTTAGTTTTTGGTATGTTTATATTGTTTACATTAGTGATGTAATTATTTCTTAAATGACTAAATCAGACGACAGACTCTGGAGGCATCAGTAATCTAAACCCTTGTTTTAAAACTCATGCAATTTCTCTTCAATATGGAATGTTAACACTTTCATACTGTTTTGTACGATGCTGCAGTTTTCCCTGGTCTCGGTAAAGCTACTCTTGCACTTTTGCCTACAGCTGGTAAAAGGCCACGCAGCTTACCTTAGTCTAGTCAAGGCTGGCGTGTACTGCTGGACAGATACTGGGCCAGTACTGTTACCCCTGTGAGAACGCAAGCAGTGGTAGCCCTGTTGTACAGTGTTAATTAACGCTGCGGCTTCTCTTGGAGTTTTGGTTGGGGGTTCAACTCAGTGGTGCACTGCAACTGGCCATGCAGCCCATACTCTACGACACACGTGATTAGGCAAAAGACTTGCTGAAAAAAGGGATGGCAGAAAGTCCAGCAATGGAAACCGATGAGACTTGGCGATTTCAAAGCGACTCTCCCTGCATGTTCTGAGAAGGGAGATAACGGAGTTGTCTATTCCAAACAAAATTAACACACTGCCTGATGTTGATTGTATGGATTTGTGGTTAATGTGAATTTTAAAGTCTAACAAATCTACAACTGGATTGGGGGGAGGGAGGGGATAGAATGATGCTTAAATTGTTGTACCCAACTTGGTCAATAAAGCAGCACAAGTTCATAATCTTAATCACTGGTCAGTAAACAGTAATTAATATCGATGCCAAAAGAGCTTTGTGAAGAAACGCACAGTATAAAATTGCCCTTTACGAGGAGTAGCGGCAGCTGTTAGGGCTGCGGAATCTCTTTAGTCATGTTCAGTTGCTTTAGACTCTTACCAAATTACGTCCTTGGGCTGACATTTTCCGTAACGGTACTCTGCCCTCAAGGAGACAACCTGATCCAGAGTTTTGGCAGTTTGATAAGGGAAAGGAGGTAGAAGGCTTCTCCTTTTATTTTTTTTCCCCTCTTAATTTAAGAAGTATTAGTTCTTTAGCTATGTGCACTTTGAATTGGCAAGGGCATTGTACACAATTTGCCAGATGTGTCTGTGTTACGAGCAGACTGCCAGGACTTCTGTATGGATTGTAGTGGTGCAGGTGCTTACTTCCGAAAAGTCTTTGAGGTCTTTGTGTATTACATCTACTGACCAGAGCTTCATCGGGGACAGGAACAAAATATATTTGTACGCAGTAAGACTGTGCTCAGGCCTAAAGTGAATGAATGACCTTTGCGATGGCAGTAGGATCTTGGAGGTGAAGAATTACTAGTAGCTCTTCTTCCACAAAGTAAGTTATTTGTGTGTATTCTCTCAACTGTTACTGAATGAGGTCTCTTTCTTTGCCCTAAATGAACAAGTACCAATGTCTCCTTTTGCATACAGCAGAGAAAAGGTACTGGGTTCTCTACCACACACCCAAGAAATAAAACTCCTTATTAGTCTATCAAAGCACTCTAGAAATGCCTAAGTTTTTTGTGGACGTAGTTGTCTCTAATTAAAGTTTTTTTCCCTTTGGCTTCTCACCTTCAGTCTCTGTGTAAAATTGTTTGAAGATCTCCTTGCCTCATTTGCTTGAACTAGTTGTAAGGTGTGTATTAAAAAGCTTAAAGGGATGGTACAGCAACGGGAAGGCCTGCTGTGGGAGAACTGGGTGTTGTAGCCATCTTAGCTAAGTCTGGCTCTTTGATGTCTGACTCCAAGCAATTAACTCAGGATGTGGGAGGCAGCTCCTAAAAAGGCTTTTGGTTAAATGTCTGCTTTGATACAGCTGGAACATCAGCGACGTTGGTCGTTCTCTTCGGTTTACGGTGTCCATGTAAGCACTGGTTTCACAGCTGTTCAGTATCAAGCCTGGAACATAACCTCTTGTACTTGTTAATTCTGTTCTTTTTTGGTCTGTGTTCTCCATGTACAATGTAGACATACGTGTTATCTTACAGCAACGGGGAGCGGATGAATTCAGTCCCATAGAAGACACCATTTAAAAAGTAACTGTTTAGGCAAATTCTGGATTTCATGCCTTAAAGACATGGTACTGTATGTAGATTTAACCTTTGATTTTTCAGGAAGACTTTAAAAGAAATTAAGGTGTGTAATACCTTAATTACGACACTTCTTGACTTTGAGGTTTCTATTTTAGTTCCGTTCCTGTTTAGAATGATATATTAATTTAAAGCTAGTGCAGAGATGTGCTTCTGTTAAGTTTGTAAATTTGCTTTGAGTATCCTTCGCATGCAGGAATAGACAAGTAGTCATATATTAAAAAGACCAACTAGGAAACACTCTCTCGGGACCTGTTTATTTATGCAGTGCTTTGGCTGTCTCAGGGGTGACTAGCCTGTGACTCCTGCTAGGGGATGACATGAAGTGTTTGCCTGTTGGATTTCCTCTTGGTGCGGAACTTTCCTGAGGAGCGATCTCACTGAAAGTGCTTCTGACCTTCCTGGGGTGAGGAGCATTTTGAAACAGGTGCCCGAGAACTTGTAGCGAGCTTCCACCAGAACAAATTCTTGGCAGTCTACTAATTTTAAGTAGGTTGGGCTGGAGAGGTAGGAAGGTGAAGGTCCTGTGCCCTGGGAAATTTGAAAGTGTCTCTTGAAGAGCAAAAACTGTCTAAAATCTTCGTCAACTGCTTCAGCCTCGATCTCTCAAACAAGTCACACTTGTAATGAAAATTCACCCATTTGGACAGGTTAAATAGTAATTAAAAAAACAGTGTTGGAATAATGCTGATACGTACTGAAAACACATACTTGGAGTGGAAGAACAGCAGCCTGGGCAGTGTAATGCTGTAGCTCTTACAGGAGAAATTAGAGGGAGCCAAGCACACCTCAAGGGCAGCACACTTAACCACAGAGTTACAAGCAACAGCACCATGCTTCTGAAATTAGAGGCAAAGCTGACTTAGAACCAATGGAGTTTGTATTACAAGGAGGAGCCACAGCTTCAGGTAATGGTGCACAGCAAGTGGTAAAAGAGTCCACTAGCAAATGTTTTGACGTTTATCTCTCTGAGAGCCTAGAATGTAATTGTTATTTAACAAACCCAAATTCATACTGGAATGAGTATAATTTAATAACTGCCAGCTATTAATTGCTGTTAGTTTATCTCTGGAAGTCTGACATGTTGGATGTGAAAATACCAACTGTAATTACCAGTAACTGTAGTGTTTCCTAGAAGCAGATAATCTGAAGTCTGCAATACTGAAATCGTTACCAGCTTGAGTAATTACAAGTGTTTTCCCATAAAGGCAGCTACAGCAGGGTTTTACTGTATTATGTTCACCAACTTTACACACAAGCTGCTGTAGATGACTGGAGTTGGACGAAAAAAGTTGGTTTACAGCAAACTGCAAAACCCTACAGCAGAGCTAGTGCTGATGGGGGCAGAGGAAGAAGATTAAAAAAGCGTTGGAGTAACTGTTTTCTTAACGTGACTGCAGGGGACAGCGCTAACACAGCAGCAACTGCAGAAACGAGGTCTTCTGGTATTCCCTGTGATGCCACCAACACTCGATTTTTCACTACTGGTGTTTGATATGAAGCAGTAATGTACTTTGTCTGGTCTTTATGTTTCTCCTTGAGTCAGATTGTGCTACATGAACACCACCAAAACTGTATTTTTTGGAGAGTTATTGTTTAATATTCTAAGCTGCATTTTTTCCATCATAATATAGAGACCTTTATCCAGCTTTATCTAGCTTTCCAGATGTCCTGGCCATTAGACTATCAGCATCACGGTAGTTACTGTAAAGCAACAACGTAAACATAAACTATTCAAGTATAACTGTATACATGCTGTACTCAAGTGGTGTAGCTACAAAATAACTTGGGGGAGGGCAAGGTTTCATCACACCTCAGTCTGCAGCCATTTGCTGACAGACTCCAGTTTCCCCAAGTCTGACGTCACCGCTCTGGAAATGTGGCATTGAGGTGAACAGGACGCCACTGGGGTAAAGATGAGAGTAGCATGAACGCAAGCATTGCTTTTTCTGTGCAAAATAGCGATAGAATTAGAAATTTTGCTTTGAGTGCACAAGCAGGACAGCGTTCTGCAGTCACAGCAGCATCCTGCTGCCTCTTGTTTTCTCTGCTTCGATCAGGTGGCGTAACTGCATTGTGTTTCTCCAACTCAATCTGATTCATGTTACATTATACAAACTGCCTGTTAAAAGGGTCTTATTTCAAGATAAGTAGATTTGGGAATACCGGACAATTTTGCCAGCAGTCCTAGCCTTTTAATCAGACTCAGCTGGAACTGTGTCCATTTGACTTCAGTTTTCCGGAGTTCAGAGGTTACTTTTAAACCAAGAGGTGCAACATTACTGAGGTTTAGCTATCCTGCTCTTGGCAGTCTCAGAAGGAAGGCATATGCTGAGAATTCCACCCTTCAGGAGTGGGTTATGGGTTACTGCACAGAGCAGCAGCTCCCTCTTTTATAAGGGAATGCACATGAAAAGAAGCGGCCTTCCAGCCTCAATTCATACCACACGAGAACTGGTTTTATAAAATTTTATTTTAAAAAAGCTTTCTAAAATACAAAAGGAGATGTCCAAAGCCTTTTCCTTAATTTCCTCTGAAAGCCCTTCCAAGCATTTTGTGGTGGGTGATGTGCAACATTGGCTGTGACGTTCGCCTAGGTTACGTCCCTCCTAGTACCACGTAGGTGCTGCGTGTGTGGACCTGAACGCAATACAGCAACTGCACCCCAGAGAGATTCCTGATCTTGATTCCGAACCTGAAGTGATGTGCACCTAGGACTTCCAGGTATATACGTAGTCCTTCATTTCCAGAAATCGGATGGAAGATTTTCCCAGCGTTGGCAGCTGGCTCAGCTGATCCAAAGTTTTAGAATGCAGTCCACACTTAGGAAGGTCTTTGCATACGGTTTCCTGAAGAAGTTCACAAGAAGAGAAATGTGTAAACATAGCTGTTTGAAATGCCTGTAGGTTGAAGTGCTTATTTATGTACCTCTGGGGAACTCGCCCTAAAAGCTAGTTTTCTGACGATGCCATTTCTGAGGGAAGAACAAGCCGCAGGGACTGCCTGGGGTGATCACAAGCGGTGGGGCATAGCCCCATGTATTTAGGAAGAGTCTTGTGTCACTCAGCACCCTTTGGTTTGTAATATGGATACTATTCCTGACAGGAAAGATGGCCTCTTCTAGTTTGCTTACCTTATTCGGGGCAGTGCTTGCGTTATCAAGGCTAGTGTTAAACACAGCTGTTGGCTCATGGGTGTAGAGCACTGCAGAGAATGCTCCCCTCTGCGCGGCCTTCAGCAGCATGGTCAGCGAATGGAGGGAGTGCGGCATGACGGGGCCGATGACCTCCAAGCTGAAGACATCTTCATATGCCAGGCGAACCCTGGCTTTCGCATTTATGCTTCGAGCCTGAAGACAAAAGCACAGAGGATTAGTTTTTGACACACCAAATCAAGTCCGAATTTTCATTTACCTTAATACTGCAGTGCCACAGCCCTGTTACAAGCTCAGAATGTTTTTAATTGTTGTCAACTTAGAGCTCAATACCTACATACAAGTATCACGGCAGTCAAAATGCTGACTCAGGCTACAGCAACAAAATTTACTCTGTTGTACCTGAAGGAAATACAGTGACTATACAAAAACAGTGATCTACTTCTGAGTGAAGTACTTCTCTTCTACTTCATTACTGGGACATAGGGGCTGCGGTATTACTTACTTTGAGCGTTTGCATTGTTCCGCCTCGGAAAGCAACGGGGGACAACAAAGTTGGTGGAAGCCCTGCCTGCGGGCCTGCCACAGCCACGAGGCTCTTGCAGTTTATCAGGAAGTTCAGTAAAGTGAAGGTGTTTGTGCCTTTCACCAATGCGAGGGATTCGGGCTTGTGATCCACCTGCACTTCATGCTTCTCCTTCTGACTGAATTGATTGGAGTCCAAGGAAAAACATCAGCAGGTGAAAAGCATCAACGGACCCGGGAATCAGAGCAGGGCAGGTCAAGAAATGCTTCTGCTCTCCCTACTCCTTCAACCAATCAAATCATTAAAAGAAACAAAATAAAGACAACAAAAGCCAACCCTTACACTTAGATTTCTTATTGAAATATTAAGCAGGATCTCAAATCTGACTTCTGATTTCATTATTAAAGCTGTGAGATAAGAAGTATTTTCAGGTCTGATGTCTTAACAGCTGACCAAACATATTTAGTAAATATCTCTGAAGTTAGCAACTCCCTAGTTTTACTATGAATTTCTCCTCAAAGCAAACAAAAAAATAAGCATTTTACTTTAAATCAGGATTCTGCTTTTGAAGGGAGTCCCCTGATTGTCCCCACTTACGGTGCATTGCTGTGGGGCAGCCTCAGGAAGTTGAGACAAGATTTCTCTTTTATAAAACTCAAATCTATACCACAAGAATTCCTGCTGGGTTTTCCTGAGCAATACACTGCGATATGCAAAGAAAGGATACAGTTTAATAGAGATAGCATCTTGTTTTTTAACCTTATCTCGGACTCCCATCTCCTCAAGCCAAGAGAAACTTTCA